TTTGCACTCTCGAAAATAATTTTATGGTTGGGGGTCACCACAACATGAGAAACCATATTTAGGGGTCACAGTGTTAGAAAGGTTGAGAACCACTGCTCTAACTAATATTAATACAGTACAATTATATATCTACTATAACTAATAAAGCAAAAAGCACATGAATACACAAAAACAAATACATAGACATAAACACAAAAACAAAGTTAACAAACAAATATAAAACTATTCCACAGACCTCTCACTCTCTGGTGGTTTTTACATTCTAACTAGTTTGTTCCCATTATGCACAACAACACTTAATAACATATTGCTGCTTCATAAATCCCACAGTTGATGAATCTAGCCATAATTGTTATAACATATTAGTCAATAAACTCCAATCTCTCTTTAAATTGGACCAATACTTCAGCTGAATCAATTTGTCCATCACAACTAGTTGACAAATTATTGTAAGCTGTTATCAAAACTTTCAACTTGTGTTTTCCATTCTGTTTTTCTTCCTGAAAGCACTCTATACAGGAGATCCTACTGTCTTTCAGTTCTCATCTGATGTGTATTGGTCTTGCTGTGGCACATGACTTCACAAGAGAAGTAATGGTCAGATTTTCTAGACAAGAACTATGGGGATATGATATAGATAGATAGATAGATAGATAGATAGATAGATAGATAGATAGATAGATAGATAGATAGATATCCCAGAAATGACAGCTCCCCTGCAGTCATATAGAATGAGGATCAGAGAAGGACAGTGACACTCACTTTGAAGGAAGATAAGAATGATCAAAATAGACTGACAATAACTGAAGAATTAGACTGACAGTAACTGAAGAATATGTGTGTGTGTGTGTATATATATATATACACACACACACACACACACACACACACACACACATTGTTAAATCTAATGTTTTTCCATCCTCCATTTTTATGAATGGGTTTCTTCTTAACTTATCCTTGGAAAGCATTCTGCTGTTTAGTGAAACTAAACTAACTTCATTAAAAACGTATTTGCTTATGACGTACGGGAATATTAATAATAATAAATTTTATTTATATCCTGCCACCATCTCCCGAAATAGACTCGGGAAGGCTTACAAAATACTCCAGGTGCAATATAACAAATCTTACATGAATATAAAACAATATCACATATAAAGTTATAAATCAACCACTAACACTGTAAGAATACAATGTAAGTATACAATGTGCAAACAAATGTTGATATAATATTTTATACTGATTAGAATTCCAATTTAAAACATTAAAATAGAATTGAATAAAGAGGCAACCGACATACCTGTAATACATGAGCAGATTCTTCCAAGAAATCTCCAATATTCTCAGTTACGGGATTTAACTGGTTAAGCCGCTGGATTACTTTTTCAATGTGTCTCATCCGAGCATCCATTTTTGCGCTGAAGAGTCCTGTGAAAAATGAAATATATTCACAGTCTGACCAACACAAAATAGAGAGGCACCATGACTTCCACTGATCTAGACCAGGCCAGTGTAAATTTCGGCTCTTCTGGTGCTTTGGATTTCAACTCCCACAATTCCTAACAGCTGGTAAACTGTCTGGGACTTCTGGGAGTTGATGTCCAAAACATCTGGAGGGTCCAAGTTTGCCCAGGCCTGATCTAGATACTATACTCCTTTGATGTAGTCCAAAATCCCATTGGCTTTTTTAGCTGTTGCATTACATTATTGGCTCGTGCTCAACTTGTCCACAAGGACTCCAAGATCTCTTTCACATGACTGTTGCCAAACCAAGCATCATCCATCCCGTTTCTGTGCATTTCTTTTTTTTTTTTCTGCCTTAGTGTAGTATGCTACATTTCTCTTTATTGACATTCGTTTCTTACGTTTGGCCAATCAGCTCTCTAATCTGTTGAGGTCCTTTTGAATTCTGATCCTGTCTTCTGGAGTATTATCTATCCCTCCAGAAGCAAAACAGTCTGGAACTCCAACTTTCAAAACACCCCCAACAAGAAACAATTCAACAAACAGCAAATCTTCCACATTAGCAGAAAATGTTACTTTTTTTGAATAAACATGAGGACCCTTCCACACAGCTGTATAACATTTAACTAGATTATATTGCAGTGTGGACTCAGATAATCCAGTTCAAAGCAGATATTGTGGTTATCTGCCCTCTGGGTCGTCCGTACAATAATTTCGATCCAAAGGCTGCCTTCTGTTTACAAATATGATGCAAGTGGTTTTCACTTGATCTCCACATGACTATTTGTAGTGGTACATAGCATCCTTGAAGTCTCTCTGAGTCCTCAAAATAAAGTTCTAGGCCCCTTTCTACACTGCCATATAAAATCCAGATTATCTGCTTTGAATTGGATTATACAGAAGTCTAGACTCATATAATCCGGTTCAAAGCAGTAACGTGGATTATAAACTCTGGCCCCTTCCACACAGCTGTATGAAATCCCATATTACCTGCTTTGAACTGGGATATATGGCAGTGTGGACCCTAACCCTTTCCCACAGCCCTATATCCCAGAATATCAAGACAGAAAATCCCACATTATCTGAGTGTGGACTCAGGTAACCCAGTTCAAAACAGATATTGTGGAATTTCCTGCCTTGATATTCTGGGATATAGGGCTGTGGGGAAGGGCCCTGGGTTATCTGAGTCCACACTCAGATAATGTGGGATTTTTTTACCTTGATTTTCTGGGATATAAGGCTGTGTGGAAGGGCTCTGGACTGCCCTATAATGCAGTTT